GAGTACACGTATAACTTACGTTACACTTTTTAGTTCAAAATCGACCCATTTTACTTATCGTTCTTTTGGGTTACAAAAATTTGAGGAATTCTTCGCAAATCTAAAGAGAGCGGCGTGCCAAATTTGTACAATAAATAAATAGCGTGAGATAACATTGCCAGTCATCATTCGAACGTTTTTATTTTCTGTTATATTGTAATTAACTTTTGTTTTAAATTATGACTTTTTATACCTTTGAATCCACCAATGAGATAGGGAGGAAGAAAGACAAAAAATAACCTCTGATTCGGAGAAAATAGCACGCCAGTAAAGTTCTGCCCGGCTCTCAAAAACTTCTCCGCGCGAGAAGTGCCAGGAACAATCGCGCCTGAGTTCGTCACGAGTTTTCATGAGTACGTGAAGAATTTAAAAAGTACCATTGCGCGCACACACAGAAATAAAATTAGTTCGTCCGCGTATGGAGAGGATTCATTGAATTCGAGACGACAAAACGAAGCTGCGACGCAGCACGATCCTATGTAATAATGCCGAGAAGTGTTTTTCCTTTTCACGTATTAAACGCTATAGATTATAGTAATGTCGGGACAAACTCGTGCATCGCAAAAGGCTTGACCCGAGATACAACTAACCCAGTTTATTACGCGTCTATCGTGAATTCGGTAAAAAAATTTGTTTGGCTCACCTGGCCCCTTTGAAAGGGGCTCTCACTGTGCGCACTAAGGAGTGGTTAAAATGTTCGTGGATAAAAAGGAATTTTTCCGTTTTTTGGTGTGCGAACACTCGACTGGGATCAAACCCTCTAATTTTGGTTGTAATGGCTCGTCTTTATTGCTATTGGAGGGTGGACCCTTGCCGAGGAGAGTCTAAGGAAACTCGTAGGGAGTTATAGAAGGGTCTCACGCGGCGAGCTTCAGATAAGTCGAATGTCGGTTGTTTTCTTTTTTGAGATTTTTAAGAGTCGAAACTGCTATAACGGCATAAACGGAGAGGTGCATTTCAACCGGTAGATGCTGTGTCATTCGCTTTGTTGAATTGTTTCGCATCGTTTCGCGTATTTACACTCCAAATAACGTTTTTAGATTACAGATGCCATATAATAGCGATTTTGATATTCTTTACGAAATATACATATAGTAGATAACTCGAACTATGAATGGTTCGAAACTGTCGAGTTGCGATATGTTAAAATCAATAATATAATTTGTAAAATCAATAATAAAAAAAATTGAGAAATATTTATTAAAAGAATAATCAATTTTATAGTACAAGACGTAAAATGTATATGCATGTGTGTATCTGCATATACATGGATTTAGAATTTGATAATTACAGTTCAAGTTACTTCGGTTATATATTGCAATTCAAGTGAATTGTATTTCTCCTCGCACGTACCTGCCAGATTATATTATAAAAGCTACAAACGCGATAGATGTAATTTTATTTTATTAGTGCGTATTAATATTAAATTAATGAAAAAATAATTTTCTAGATTATTTAAAATCAAATATATAATAATAGCATATAATAATTACAAAGTATATATGCGCTTTTTAATATGTATATATTTATTATATACATTTTAAAGAGGAGAGAGAGAGAGATATATGTTATAAGATGAATTATAATTTTCAAATAAAAATTTAACAATTCGCATGATATCATATAAAACTGGCGATTTTATTCTAAAAATCACCTGTAACTTAGCGTTTAGATGGATCATCCACCTGTGTCGGTGATGAATCGGCGACAAGAATCAACCCTTTCCCGTTGTAAAGTGCACATGACCGGACAGGTACCTATCTATTTCCATATAGACTCACTTTCGTATTGAATATAAAAAAGGGGGAACTTGGCACCTGCTGCCGGTAGCTGGGCCATGCAAATACTTACACATGATGAATAAAAAAGAGGGTTCGTAGCAAAGGGAAAGGGTTCTCGCCGCCTTATTCAGATTAGGGGCCCGCTTATGGCATTTGAATGCGGCGACCCTTCGTAATGCCACTTGATCCTCTTGATTTTACACTGTAAGTGTTTTCACCCTTCATCGCCAGACGGAACTCCACCCAGGGAACGATCCTTCCGTTCCGGAACGAACGGTATATACCACTTTAATAAATTCATATTAACAATAGAAGACGATCGACGCGATATCGTAGGGATAGATATATCGTCGGCACGACATTGTTGCGACATTACAGACATATTTTGAAAATAATTCTTCTCTTTCTTCTTGAAGTAGCTTTCGCAATTTTCTTTGGTTAACATTAATGGAAAGAGGAGAATATCGTGAGCACATAGACGATTTTCAATGCTTCTCCAAGCGTTACCAATTATATATGTAATAACAGAACACTTTAAACTAGATATCCGTAAATCTTTACTGAGGAATTTCGTTTGCGCGCATTTATAATAACTGGCTATTAGAATCAGAGCGCGTACATATTATTCGCGCCTCTCTCGTGACTTCGTGTCGGTAGGGGCGTCATTAAAATCAATACCGGCTCGCTCTCTCCTCTCCGCTTCCTTCTCTTTCGTTTCCCTCGCTATCGTCGTCCTTGTTCGCTTATCATCACTATCCTCGTTGCACCATAAACGCGAGGGTGGCGGAATCGAGGTAGGGGTTGCCCCTTCCTATGTATCTGGCATGCGAGGCGAAGGACGAGGCGTTGGTGGGGACCAGGACGAAGGAACGAGAGAGTCGGCGGGAGAGAAAAAGCACGAGGAAGACGAAACTTTGGGGGAGCAAGGGGGAGGATGGTACGATAAGAGGAAGGCTGCGTTTGTGATGTGAGGTACGTGGTACATGCGATAAGGAGTGGGGGGATAGCGTTCCCATGGCCAATAAGAACCTCTTTAAAGCGCCCTTTTTGCACGGAACTGCGCATGCCGGATTCAAATCTGGGCGAGCTAGGTATCGAGTGGCAGTAGGGGTGGAAGTGAAGCGACAATGGTAGTGGTAAACGAGATGGTAGTAGTGGCGATAGCGGTGGTGGTGGACGTCGGCTGTATGGAAATATGATAGCGCGATAAGAAAAAGAAGAAAGGCAATGACGCCTATGTGTGTGCAACGTGAAGGGGATAGGCGTGGGTAGGGAGAGTGCTATGGTTCTCGCGACCAATAAAAGGGCCAGTTTAAAGCGCCTTATTTTTTGCACTGGCACTGCGCATGCTGAATTCAAATCTTGGGAGTGGTGAGGCTGGATGGATTTGTATGGAAATATGATAGGTGAGAGGTATCGCCCGGGTCGAGACATGGCGGCCGATAGAAATGTTTATTCGTTTCACCATTCTCGTCAATATTTCCGCTATGCATTTTTATTATCGCTTTTGTAATGTATTGACTTACGGAAAAATGTGTGACAAATATGTAAAATATCAAACATTTATATACAAACGTCTGTTTTGAAATGTGTAACGATAAACATATATGTATTACAGATTATATAATTATATCATTTCAAAAAGATGATTATATCATTTGTCTGTTATAGCTTCATTTATTTTTAAACATGTAAAAAAATTGCCAGGTAATACCGGCTTCAGATAACATCATAAAGTTTGTATGCATTTATTTGCCGGGTCTTGTATGTCAGTGTTGGCAGGAATATCCCGTAGGCTAGCACAATAATCACATTGTTTGGCACATCGCCCTCTCGAGTAATCCTTGTAACTATACCCACCTGCTGCCATATCTCATCGGTGTCAATCGAACCGTAATACCACAAGCTCTCAATCGTCAGGTATATCAATCCGAAAGATCTCTGAAGAAGAAATCTCAATGTGTTTATCACGAACTCATAGTTGATGCACATTCTTAATGTATTTCTAAATATTAAGTATAATTAGGTAATTGATACTTCTTATTTTGAATTTTAAAAATAATATGTAGAACTCCTTGCGAAATAATTTAACATATATTAATTTTTAGAGTCTGAAGTATTAAGCTAATTATTATTTTAGAAGAGATTATTTTACGATATGTAAATTGAAATATGCAAAATATTTTGTGAAACACTTGACTTCCGACGAATAATCACAGTAGTCGAAAGGATAGGAACTTGCGTGGGTGGTCTAGCGTGAGAGGCTTCTTGCGAATTCTGCCTCTAACTAATTCCATCTCCGACTCTTCGTTACGTGCGCGCTGACCACACTATCTTACAGTATCTGCGGTTGTACGTCGTGTGTGTCCACGTGATATTTCCAAGATATTAAAATGGATACACCGCATACGGTGCATTTTCACGTTCAGCGCATTTGGTTACCCTCAGCCTCGTCTGGTTCCCATTAGAGAAAACCGCGAAGAAGCATGCGAATCGAACCGGTCCGGTGCAACTCGCCACCGGATTGGTCAGCTCCGGAATCAAGCCGAGTTTAATTCTTAAGCATTGGTCACGGAACAGGTCTTTAAGTATCAAGGTCTAATCGTCATCATCTCCACCGGGTAGGGCAGGTAGCACGGCGATTGGTTGTGAGCGTATGCGTATGCAAATTCGTTTGCTTGCCCTCTCCTTTTCTCTTTTTTTCTCACATTCTCTTTCTCCCTTTCTCTCGTTTCTTTTTCTTTCTCCCTCTTCGGCTTTGCGGACAGCAGTCCGATGCACGCGAGATGAAAAAGGCGCGCTCGCGCTCGCGCGAGTTCCGCGGCCGGAGAACTCGCCTCTGGCTCGCCGGGCGGAGCCGCGTGCAATCCGCGTTTTCTTGCGATTGGAGGCGGCGTCCCCACCGACGCGTTCACTGCCCCCACCTCGGCAATCATGCAGACTGTGTTGGACGGCCACGCTTTTCGTTCCACACGGCTCTCCTTGTCCCGCTCCTGTTTGATCGAGGCCGCCGGTGCTCTTTCCTTGTTGCTCCAACGATTTTTCCTCTTCCTTCTCGGAGCGACTAACAACTCCCCCACCTTGGGTTACTCCGCTCTGCGGCCGCGTTCGCCGTGGCCGGTAGGCGGCCAAGCGAACGTACGTGAGTCCTCTAGTGTAGCTGCACACATGCACGCGACAGCATCTGACCGCTGTACCACCAGCCGCCGCCGCCGCCGCCGTAGCCGCAGCCGTAGCTACCGCCGTCGTAGCGCGTCGCGTAAACTCTCGTCCAAGTGTGTCTTTGATCACGCCGAACGAGAAGGACGCGTCGACAGGTTGACCTGACTCATCCCGTTGACAGGTCGCAGGTAGTTACTGTTATTGGCGCTCTCTAACGTCGTCATCGGCCGATTTGACATGCTGCGTCGTGACAGATCGGCGCTAATCATCGCACGTGTTATTTAGGATGACGTGATTATCTAACAAATAAGATACGACGGCGAAAAGTGGTAAATTGGTGTAGTGACCTGGCTGAGCTAGTCGAAATCGTGACCATTGACGATGTTGACGAGATAGTGTTTGTTGATGAGTTCATCAGAAAGAGTGCTCTTATCTCTGGCACATCAATGACACTTGTAAAACTGCCGCAAAGACTTTTTGTTGATCCGAGTAGATTTGAAGTAGGTGCATGTCGTTGGTAAAGACAATTCGGATCGAACTTCAGTCAGGACGATTGACTGTTTGAGTCAGTGATAGCAGTGCCGGCACTTCACGTGCTTTACGACTAATGTTTTGACAGTCATCTGACAGAAGCAGTACGACCAAGAGACTTATTATAAAGATACGTTTGTGATGAGGCTAAAGATTGTTTCTGCAAATAACAACGACGGTCAGAGCTCAGGTATTTTACGCGGGGGACAAATCGTGCATTGGATAGTTACATCTTAAACTGGAGTACATCGCTACCGCAAGAACGTGTACGTGACTGTGAGACTCCTGAATGAGTGTAGTGCATTCTTAAAAGTACTGTGTTTTCAAGAACTCGAAGACATTGATTGGATCTCATATGGAAGCGAGAGAAATCATGTTAACTAGTACGCAGTGAATGTCGCAAGGTGCTAAGACCATTAGAAGCAGCTGTGGATATTTTTTGATAAATTGATTGAATCAAATCCAAGTATAACACTTCTAGGCGGTATTCCATCCTCAAAGCATTCTGCGAGCGATGATAGTCGACGCAAGCCGTTAAGTTAGCAGCAAACGATCTCCCACTGCGTGGAACGGCGCGATCCTTCGTCGAGAGCAGAAACCAGCAGGTGACCACGTTGGATCTCGCAGCGTTGACTGCCTACGGGGGCGTTTCGGGACCCAGGGTCGCGGTGGCGGGCACCGGGGTCCTTGCGCTGCCCCGCTTGATACCCGACAAGGGTTTATCATCGCCCGGAGGCCAGTCGAAGTCAAAGTCCGCAGGGCTGGCGGGTCTCGACAGCGAGGCGGTGCGCCGGTGGGTCGCGGAGGCCACGCGAACCGTCCGGCAGTTGCCGCATGCGGTGGTAGTGCCTGTAAGTTCTCCGCAACACCAGCAGCAACAGCAGCAGCAACAACATCATCGACAGCCACAGCAGCAGCATCAGCACCATCATCATACTACGCACAGGCAACGTCAGGAACCCAGCCCACCATCGGTGGGACTCTCTTCCTTCGTTCTACCAATATCGATGACGCAAACTCCCAGTATGCGTCTGCTGGAGAACAACAACTTGGTCGAAGTTGCCATGGCCCAGCAGCAACAACAACAACAACAGTCCCAGCAGTCGACACAGAAACAGAAACAGACGAGTCCCACAAATAACAACACAATAGAAGCCTGGAGATCGATTCAAGGCGGTCATCAGTGGTGGAGTCCGCCCAGTAGTATTCAGCAGGAACAGCAACAGCAGCAGCAGCAGCAACAACAAGTACCGTCGATCGCACAGGTTTCTCAACCGCAGAAGCATCAGCCGCAAGTGCAATCGGAAATCGATCAGCCGCTCGACTTCTCTGTCGGTTCCCTGCAGCAGCAGAAGCTGCATTCGCGCGTGAGGACTATGCACGAGAGACTTCAAGGTAGGATGCATGATAACAACAACGGAACGAGCGGCCAGAAGATCCTCAGAGGAGACGTCAGCAGGCGAAGCTATAGCCCTAGTGAAGCTAGTTCCAGCAGCAGCGAAGACGAGGGTGTCTCTACCGGCGGCAGTCCTACGGGACCTCTTCGGGGTGCCTCGGGTGAGCGTCAATCAAATTACACACGTTTCGTTAGAGTTTGGGATATATTCAGAGTCATCATGATTCCTTAATTTGTAATTATGAAGGTTAATACGCGCGCGCGAAAGGAGGGAAGAAAGAAATTACTCCGTTAATTCTCTCTCTTTTGAAATGTGTTTATTAATGTTAAAATTATACGACGATTTGTAAAATTTTTGCGCATTTACATGATTAATTCTCTCAATTAATTATTTTTGAAAATTTTGTAACATAACGTAATCGTTGTATAAATCGAAGCTAAATAGCTGATGCAATATTTTTAATTCCGTTAAGTAAACGTAGATTAAGTTTTATTTATTATTATTTCTCGCTCTCTCTTTCTCTCAAGTAGTTATTTCATTATTAAATGCAATCGATATGATATGAAAGCGAATAAAAGCAAATATTTATCTTTATCGCAATTTCTTACTTCGCTCAATTAACAGAGAATATTGCGCGACAGTTAAACAATTTGTCATTATCGATACTGAATCGCAGACGTGCGTTAAACAATTAAAATTATCTGATTAAATGTAGATTAATACGTTTATATATCACTGTAAACAACGAGAATCAAGCATTTTGTGGAAAACGTTATGTTTGTCAGCTGCCAGCGCAGTCTGCCGTTGCATTCTCGACGCCCCCGCGCTTCATTGTTGCCATGGAAGCATTGTGCAGCGTGGCATTGTATCGGGTCATGTGGTCCCCCCCAATCGCGAGAAACGATTTATCTGAAATGACCGGATTTTGCATTAATGCATCTCGTTCTTGCTATTTTGTGCGCGGAACGCGTGCCAATTGAATCTGGGGGGACGGAGAGGGGGTTAAATTTACGTTTAGAGGATAAATTTATTTTAAAAGGAAGAGAGAGAGAGACTCGCGATGCACTTGTATTTTGCACGAGGGTAAACTATTGTTTATGATACTATTTTCCACAATGAAAGTGATACATGATTCGTGATACTATTCGATATTAATTATTACTTTTGAAAGTAATGCAATAATCTTGTGTATTAACGTATCAGATATCCAGGTTATTGTTCAGATTACTATGAAGATGTTACGACGTTTTCATCGTCATCGTGGCGGGGACGATGACTAATCGGTACTCGTTAACGATCCGCTATCTTGTCAACGCGCATTCGCGCATTTGTAAAATTAGTTCAAGTGCTATCTATGTTAAGACTGAGTTTAAGAATCGATATCACGCGCATTAACAGATAACTGAGTCACCATCAATCGCTTTGATGGTAATTTCCATGCCGAGACATCGATCGTGTAATTTCAATCAACGCTGTTCACGTCAATTATTCGCTTATGATATATGCTACGTCTGCGCACCGTCTTTGGACGTTATTAATTACGTGCAAAGTTGCACGCGGGCTTATTAATAGCCGCGCCACACGCGCCGCACGTTTCTGCTTTCAATTCAGAATTACCGGTTCCTGATAAACGTGCGATTCACGGCTGCTGCACGTGTCGTTTGTAACGTATCTCTTTCGTACGTCGACAATCGCGCAACACACATAGATAAAATCTTAAGTCGCGCCGGTATCGCGTGATAATATATGTAATGAATAGTTACCGGTTACTTAATAGTAGACGAACGTTGTGTTCCATAAAAGTGGTTTTGCTAAAAATTGACTTCAATTTTCGCCAAAGAAGCTCGAAGGGTCGATAAGAAACACACGTTCTGGACCGTCAAGCTATATTATTACTGCTTACATACTTATATCGGTATTATCATTATAGTAAGGTCACTTGTCAGTAAAATTCATTAGAAATTGCGTTATTAGAACAAGATAATCACGATAACAGAGAAAAAAAAATATTGATTAAGGTGGATCGGTGTTAGATCTGCTAAGAGATCATAATTTTTACACAGGCCGTCTCTATTAACTGCGATATGCGACGCGATAAATAGAAAATTAATAACGTCGAAGATGTTGTTAATGTACGTTGATTAGCTGCGATAAGCACTAGATCGAAGGGATAGGCAGAAAAATTACAAACCAATTGATACTATTGATAAAAATGCGTATCACGCTTTAGTCGGCCCGGTGTTGTTAATCTATGGCAATTACGTCTATGTACCTATTCCTCGTATTCAAGCACCTGATATCGAGGTTATCCGCATGATAAGTCCTTCCTCTACATAGTTGCACTATTTAAAAATAGTTGCAATATTTAAAAAAAGAAATGCAATGGTAAATACGCGGTGCTGCGTACGAACGGAAAGGAAAAATGACCGTTATCGTATCAGTCGATAACGTCTTAGCTCTAATACTTGTTTGAATAAATATTCCACGTAGTCGTGTGATTGCATGGTTATTTTCGGCGTACGCTGAAATCGTGACGCAAAAATCTTGCTTAGTAAGTCGTGTGCATAAGTTGATCAATATATTTTTATCTTCACCAATCGGTTGACAAAATATTCATTTTGTATTGAGAATTATTACGCCATAAAATAACGAAAAAATATTAGAGAATTGATTAATTGGGATAACTCTGTTTCGATGATATACTTAAGAATTTATATTCGGGGGTAGAAGGGATTATTCGAAAAATTAATGTCTAATGTTTCTAAGAATTATAAATTGTTTTGATTATATCTATTTCCATTTGATGGTATTCAACGATGATGATTCCGCATCTCGATGAAAGTGCGCGTCGAGTATGGGCAGTTCCAGGTACACGTTTCATAGGGCCCAAGGACCTGTTTCCCTTGCTAGCCCGGGTGTATTACGATGTAACCCGATACGCGTTTGATTCTATGTTATTTACGAGCAGGTGTATCGGCGCAACAATGTTTATCGGCGTAATTAGATTCTATACCTACGTAATCTTTATCACACGTCGATGAGTTGTGGCGCGGCGAAAATCATGCTTTCAGAACGCATACGCACGATGATAATAATTTTCTCGAACACCTCTACATTGATTTCGATTGTCACGCCTTTTTACCGCCCATTGATCGGTAAGGGCTAGGTAACACGATTTCTCACGTAAATAAATATATCAAATGTTTACAATATAAAAAGTATTTGAAAGAAAGCCATATTTATTTAAACATATATTTTTAAAGAAAAGAAAATTAAATTATTTTATATTAGGTTTGTGTAATTAAAATATCTACCAATGAGATGCAAATTTTAAAACATATATACTGATTGAAATAATTGTCGGTTATCTTGTCGCACATTTTCTTAACAGATCGAGTTAACAAATTTGCTTTTAATACCATATTAATATATTCAAAACAATTATATTTTATTTTTATTATTAAACATTTTAAAATGCTTTTAGACACATTTTAACGATCAACCATCCATTTCCGTTTATCTGCTCTTAATTTAACTAAAGCTACCACGAATTTCTTTGATGTAGAGCGGCAAACACTAATAACAATTCGCGATTACCGATTAGAATCCTTATTGGATTCATCTTTATCATCATGATCGTTTCCGCTAACTATCCCTAAGAGCCGCTGTGTTTTTTCCTTCATTAGCGTTTTCTGTGACTCGTCCGGGTGCACTCGAGTGCCGTCGGATCACTCGCGTGCGGAAAATTAGACGGCCTTCCGATTTGCGAGAGTACTCATGAGGTACACGCCGATCCCTTTCGCGCTCCTCGCTTCGTGATCAGTGATCTTCGAGCTTCAAATGTGTCGACGGAAATTCTGCGAAGTCCATTCTCGTCTAAAACGAAACCCAAACCCCTGAAGGATATCGTTAGTTAGGTAGCCATTTTCCTCTCGAGGTGCTTGAAAGTTTCTTAGCTTCTGTTTATACCTGGACTTATATCTATCGAAACAATGCCTTGCAAGGGTTATGAAAATTTAAATAATAATAAGTTTATAAAAAATAGTAATCTGTAAAATTTTAAATTTACTTTTTAATCATGTTCATTCGTTATAGCATACTGAGTAGCAACAGCTGATCGTTATACTGATACATATATAAACACTGACAAACGATATTTGGTTATTTGCATTGGAGCATATGCCTGCGACAGTTGCGGTCGAGATTATTAATCAATCGACTAACGAGATACTAATTAATTATTCTATTATACAAGAAGTCGCAGCGTCCAATGAGAAAACACGCGATTGAGCGCGCGCGTTATCCTCATTCTGTTTTATGCCGGTGCCCGCGCGCGTCATTAACTTATGATTAGCCATATAAAGTCGGGGCGCGCATCGATAAAAAATGTATATCGATACGACCGATGCATCGGCAATGCGCTGTATCGGCCAGCGTTTCGTCGAGATCCGCTCGACGTCGGCAGTCAATGACGGATAAAATCGCATTTATTGACTCGCGCCAGATTAATCGCGACCGAATAATATATTTATCTTACTGCCCGAGTCTCCACGGCCGTACGAGTGAAACGGCCTTTATCGATCGGCGATCTCTCGCTCGCGTCACTCGAGAAACGAAGGCTTGGCTCGGAGATAAAAAGCCGACGCGTTAAAGAGGCGGCCGGAAGCGCGCGGTACCTCGCACGGCTAATACGTACAATGACTATGAATACATAAAGACGCGTTATCAAATGGGATTTGTTCAACGGATAACGCAGTCAAGGAAAAAGCTGCGTGTATAATAAAAAAAAATTAGTACTTAACAGAGACACTTAAAATTTGAGCCTCTTATTTTTTCTATAATATAGTATAACTATGATTTCTCGGGGGAACAAATTAATATTAGTAAAGTATTGTATATCAACGCAAGTAGATAACTTTTTAAGTATAAATAGACTGGTGATTATTTTTGTGCATTTCTAGGGAAATTATGCTAATTATATCTTATGTGAGGTTTTTTTGTACACGTAATTATAAGATCTTGTGACGCTATATGGACATAATTATCTACTACTTTGAATATGTAAATAGTTACACGGCTTTATCGTTGATCGTATTGTTTATTCGTAAACCGGGATTCTAGGAAACGTGAAGTAAAGACGGATATGACTGATCATACCGA